AGATTGAGAGGAGTTAAACAAATAAGAATAGAAAAGGAGAGTGATGGGGGGGATGGGGGGTGGGGGGGGGTGTGGTGGGTGTCGGGGTTGTGGTGGTAGTGTGAGGGGGGTGTGTGTGGGTGGGTTGGAGGAGTTGAGGTGTGTGTGGGGTGTGGGGGTGAGGGGGTGGGGGTGGTTGTGGGTGGCGTAGTGTGTGGTGTGGGGGTGAGTGGGTGGGTGGGGGAGGGGGGGGGAGGGGAGGGGGGTGGGGGTGGGGAAGGGAGTGAGGAGGGGGGGGATGGTTATTGTGGGGGAGGGAGAGGCGGAAGCCGTTTTTTTGATTGGTTCTTGCTGAAGTGCATGCAGAGGCTTCTCTGTATCGAGGCTGTCTTGGCTTAGCTGTGTCGTTTGATGTGCATGTATGTATGCATGCATGCGAATTCGCCGCAGCGAGGCTTAAAGCAAGTGGCGGGAGTTGAACTCTTTTTACCCCCTGGCATTGCGACTTCCTGTCTGCCCCTCTCGTGTCTCCTCGTGGCGCTTCGTTGCCTGCGCACGCCAGCCATCAGGCGATACGAGCGGGAGCTGCAGCCGCTAGCAGCAGCAGCAGCAGCAGCAACAGCAGCAACAGCAACAGCAGCAACAGCAGCAGGCGCTCAGAAATCGCAGGAGCAGCTGCGCATTTCAAAGGAGACAATGGCTGCTCTCCCTTGCTGCAGGAACGTGTTTGTTCTGCTGCCATTGGCAGGTCGCTTGATGCTGCTTTCTCGCGCAGCCACTGCAGCTCCTGCGTTGGCTCCAGGAGACTTTCCTGCTGCCCCCCTTGCTGCCCGCGATGCTGCAGCAGCAGCAGCAGCAGCAGCGCGGGGTATTCCTTTGCTGTGGGGCCCCCCCGGCAGTCACGCTGCCGCTTCTGCAGCCGCTGCAGCGGCTGCAGAAGCCACGGGATGGAGGTGGGAGGCTTCCGAAGTATACGACATCACTGGAGATATTTCTTACAAGCTTGCGTGCTGCTTCATGCTGCTGTACGGACAGCCGCTGCTGCCTCGCCAGCCGCCCCCCCTAGACAAATTGACCATTCAAACGACAAAGGAGAAGCTGAAGAACACGTTTATCGAGGTCTCGCTGCCCACCACGATGCTCGGGGTGTACATCCACCGCAGCGTCCAAAGGTGCACCGGCTGGAGTCTCCATGAAAATGTGAGTGACTTGGGCTCGCCCTCCTGCCTTTTTCCCCCCTCCCCTTCCTCGTACAAAGACGAGCAGTTCGCAGGAAAATCTCAAGAGGGCTTCGCGGCTGTGGGCATTTGTGGCGTGGGTGCGCATCTCGGTAGTAGGGATTTAAAAGCATCCGCAACTTTTGCGTGGCAATCTCCCTCTCTCTCTCTGTATATGTGTGTATATATATGTGTGTGTATATATATGTGTGTATATATATATGTATGTGTATATATATGTATATATATATATATCTATATATACATGTATGTGTGTCTGTGTGTGTGTGATGTGGATGTCTACAGTCTTTCGCAGTTCATTCGTTGTTGATTCCTTCCCGCGAGACTCGCGAGTTCGCCCGTTTTGCTGTTTCTGCCGTTGATCTCTTTTGTTTTAATAGCCAAAAGCCTCCAGAAGGCAGCAAGCCTGCAAGTGTGCCGCCCCTCCTCACGGACTGTGTCAGCAGCATGAAAGTTCTCTCGAGAATCGCTGGCGATGAGGCGGAAAGTTTGTGGGAATGCGTAGGCGACCCCCTCGCAGCGCCTGCCTACCTGCGTGGTTTTTTGATTGATTCGAATGGAGTGGGCTCAGTGTCACCGTTCTGTTTGTCTCCTCATCCCTCCCGTCCCTGCTGCCTTCCCTCCCTCTTGTCGGTCTGCAGCTACACGAGGGCGGAGGAGCTATCCATTCTTTCCCCCCCCCCTAAGCCGCACTTTCCTCTCTTCCTGCAGTTCCTGCACGCACAGAGGCACCCGCAGCTGCCGGACCGCATCGTGGCTGCTCCCCTCTCGACACTGCAGCAGCACAATGTCGCGATGCAGCAGCTGCTCCAGCAGCAAACGGCGCTGCTGCTGCTGCTGCTGCCACCAGAGACGCTCCAGCACATGAGGATGCAGGCAGTGGCTGAAGTTGGAGGCCAGATGCCTCCCGTGCCGCTCGTTCAGGCGGCTTTCCAGGTGTCTCCCGCCTCTCTTGTTCCCTTCAGTGCGTTCGCAGGCGCCTCTGCAGCAGTCGCCGCCGCGGCTGTGGCATTGCTGGCGTCTCGCCCTCTGCACCTGCTGCCTGCATCGCTGCGGCAGTACCCTCTGCATTTGCTGCTCCAGCTGCTGCAGTCTCAGCGGTCTGCCGCAGCAGAGAGCGAAGCGCTCGAGAGGGTGGGGCTGGCAGCCAGAGCAGTTGCGGGTGGCCCCTCCACGAATCCGCTGCTGTGGGAAGCGCTGCGCTCAGTCTTGTTGGAGCTCACGCTGCTGTTGTCGGACCGCTTCGCCTCCGCCGCTGGACCTCTGCTGCAGCAGCAGTCGCTCGACAGAGTGATTGCAGAGGGAGACAAGGTGCCATCCGCTTCCGTGCTCCTGCTGCTGTTTTCCCAGGCGTTTCTCGTTGCCAACGTGACTGCGGAGCTTTGGAGAACCTTCTTGGAGCGAATTCGGGAGCGAACTCCGGCGGCGAACGCGACGCGGCGGCAAGAGGATCAGGATGCGCTGATCGACACAGTCAAAGCCTTCAGCCCTAAGCACCTCGGAGGGACGGAGGCGGAGTGGTCCTACCTCTCTGCCAAAACAGACGCCCTCTTGCTGCTCCTGTTGCAGTTTTCCCACTTCCACGCACCAGCAGCCGCACCAGCAGAAGCTACGGATGCGCCGACTCCCATAGTCGAAGACGGCCCCTCAGGCGGCAGCAGCAGCAATAGCAGCAATGGCAATAGCAGCAATGGCAACAGCAGCAGCAATGGCAGCAGCAGTAACGGCAGCAGCACTACCTCATTCGCTGCGGCGACTGCTGCGCTGCAACTCACACAGTGGTGGCGTCGTGTTGGGGACTGCCGGCGTCTCTCGTGTTTGTTTTGCCTCTCCTCTCTTTCCGGAAAGGGAGAGGAGTTGAGTGAGCGGCAGCAGCAGATCAAGCAGCAGCGAGGGCTCTCTGTGAACCTGTCTACTCGCCAGCTCTCCTCTCTTGCTGCCGTCAGCAGTTGTTGCAGCAGCAAGAAGGATGCGCTGCTGCTCCACGGGCTTGCAGTAGAGGCCAGTCGCCTCCTCTCCTTTCTGTTTCACGGAAAGCTGCCACCTCAATCAAAGGGAAGACCATCCGACTGGGCTGGGCCCCTTCTCGAGCAAGTAGGGAGTCTCGAAGGGATGGAGGACGTACAAGCAGCCTTGGCGCTGTCTGCTCCGCTCAGCCGTGCGAAGGAGTGGGTGGAGCCTCCTGCCTTCTTCTTCTCCTTGCTGCTTATCCGCAGCAAGTGCTTCAGACGGATCGCGGCGGCTGCTGCTGCTGGCAGCAACGACACGGCAACGGCCGTCGTTGCTGCTGTTGCTGCTGCTGCAGAAGCGGCGCATCCCCGACCGCTGCCAGACGTCGCACGTCTCGTAGCAGCAGCAGCGTCGGCATCGGCAGCGACAGCAGGAGGCGCTAGCAGCAACAGCGCCATCGGTGATTCCAAGCCAGCAGCTCCCCAGCCTGGGGCAGGAGGGAGTGCCGGCAAGGCTTCCGCTTCTCCTACTGCGCCCACAGCAAGCAGCCTCTACGCAGTGGCTCTCTGCGATGCGGCGGATGCTCTCCTGGTGTCTTGCGTGCAAGCATTTGGGGCAGACAGCATTCTGGGGGGAGAAGTCAAGTCAGCACTGTTAAGCCCCTCGTCCTCCCGCAGCACCAGTCACGCTCAGCGCGTCTTCGACACGAGCAGCAGCAGCAGCAGGCATGGTGGCATGGGCACGCAAGCTGTGGGAAATCCACCGAGTGCTGTCTCCTGCAGGAGCGCTGAGACAGTGGAAGGGGCGACGGGGGAAGCCTTGCGCTTCGTGTGCTCCCAGGTGTCGCTGCAGCTCTATCTTCAGCATGCGGGAGACATCGAGAGCCTCGTCGAGGCGGAGGGAGACCCCATGCCGCTCGTTTTGCCGCTGTATCGGCTGCATGCGCTGAGAGTTCGCGTGCTGCTGCAGTCTGGTGGGCGCCTCTGGAGGCTTGCTGCTCTCTTTCCCTGGAAGTATTGCTGCAACAAGGCAGACTGGCCTCAAATCCTGGAGGCTTTAGACGCAGCGCTGTATATGTGGAGGACGGGGAAGGCGGAAGTGCTGCTGCAACAAGCGCAGCAACCCTCTCTTCCAGGGGATCATGTACTGCCTCTGCAGAGTGGGGCAGATGTCATGCGGGATGTGGTGGAAGCCCTTCAATACCTCTCAGCAAAACGGTTAGTCTGGTGGCAGCAGTAGCACTAGCAGCAGTAGCACTAGCAGCAGTAGCACTAGCAGCAGTAGCACTTGCAGCAGCATTCTTGCTCCTAATTTCTTCTATCCCCGCCTTCTCGCTCTCTAATTCTCTCTCTAATTCTTCGTCCCCCAGCCTCTAACACCCCGCCCGTCACGCCGTGCCACCCCTTCTCCTTCTGCCCTTAAGGACGCCCTCCTCTCAGCAGGCGCTTCGGCTCGCTACTTCCCGAGTAGTCAGAGCTCGCAGACAGCCGCCTGCACGCATGCGCATGCTGTGTAGAGTGTGGCTGTGCATGCGCGTATTATGTCGTGTTCAGGCAGTTGGGTCTGTGGGCTTCTACTCCGCGTTACCTGCTGACACGCCTGTGCCTGGCAGGCGGCGAGTTTGGGGCTGCATGCAAGCAAATAAAGCATTTGTTCTCCAGAGGCTCCATAAGACTGGCCCCCCCCGACTCTTGGCTAAGCAATTACTACCAGGCTTTCAAGGCCAGACGCCGTGGGTTCGATGCTCGCCGACTGAAGGTGTGTTACTTGTTGTACGACACCATCAAGGGGCTTGCGCAAGGGGCCCTTGCAGCGGCTACAGAGGGAAAGCAGCGGCAGCTCCAGTTTCAGCAGCAGCAGCAGCAGCAGCAGCAGCAGCAGCAGCAGCAGCAGCAGGGGCCTGTGATGCCGGAGGGTTGGGTGTATGGGGGTGTCGAGAGGATAGAGAGACTTGACGAGTTGCATGCGGCGATTAAGCTGCTGGTGGAGGCCCTTGACGTCCAGTTGAAACTGCTGCGACGCCTGCAGCAGTGGCTGCAGCAGCACCAGCAGCTAAAACAGCAGCAGCAGCACCAACAGGAGGCACCGGATGAGGAGATACGCCTCACGAGCATGCCCCTCCAAACGGAGGCAGTGCGGATTCTTCTGACGGTTGCTGCCGAGGCCTTTTCCGCCCTAACCGAGGCGACTCCAGAGGTCCTAGATATGAATGAAATGCGGCAGGCGATCAGCATCATGTTTCCGCAGAACGAGGTGCCTCCTGCGGAGCTGCAGTGCACGTACACTCCAGATACGGCGGCTTTAGACAAGCGTCTCCTCGTGTTTCTCCGGGATATCGTTGCCTCGACGCGCTCGTGTCTCCTGGATCTTTCCGAGGGAACGGAGGGAGAGTTTCTGGGGGGGGGGCCGTACCAGCAGCTCGAGGGGCTGTTTGTGCAGCTGGAGGCTGTGTTCGTTGCTGCATGCAAGAAGCTACTGTACTGCAATCCACCACCCTCGCATCAGGCAGTCAACATGAGACTGAGCTTGGGTCAGCAGGTTCGCTGCAGCTCCCAAATGCGAGAAATCGAAGAAGGCAGAGAGGCGCATGCGGCTCTTCAAAGAGCCATTCGCGCAGATGGAGGCTCTGGAGGCAGCGGGGGAGGCACTGGCAGGGGGAGAGGGAGGGGACGTGGGGGATATGGTGGGCGCGGAGCAGCAGCTGCTGCTCGTGCTGCTGCTGCGGCAGCAGCTGCTGCTGCTGCTGCGACTGTTGTACCTGCTACACCCTCGGCGACTGTGGGTGCTGCAACTGCAAGGGGCATCAGTCGCCAACAGCGCAGAGCTGCACGCAGTCAAAGGATGGGGGGGGAGTACTTTGAAGGCCATATCTCTGATGGGGAGCAAATACGTGTGACGGAAGATCCTGTGTTGCAACAGCAACAACAGCAACAGCTGCAACAACAGCAACAGCAACAGCTGCAACAGCAACAACAGCAACAGCAGCGGCTGCAACAACAGCAACAGCAGCAGCTGCAGCTGCAACAACAGCAACAACAGCAACAACAGCTGCAACAGCAGCTGCAGCTGCAACAACAGCAACAACAGCAAGCACAACAGCAGCAACAGCAGCTACAACAGCAACGGCGGCAGGTCCAGGCACAGCAGCAGGAGCATCTCAAGCAACAGCGCTTGCAGCTGCAACAAAGGCAGCAGCAAGCGCAACAGCTGCAGCAGCAGCAACTGTTGCAGCAACAGCAAGCGCAGCAGCAGCAGCAACAGCAACAGCAACTGTTGCAGCAACAGCAGCAGCAAGCTCTTCAACAGCAGCAGCAGCTTCTGCAGCAGCAGCAGCTTCAGCTCCAACAGCGCCAGCTCCAGCAGCAGCAAGCGCAACAGCTGCAGCAACAGCAACAGTTACGCCAGCCTCAGCTTCAAGCTCAGCTTCAGCAGCAGCAGGCACAGCAGCTCCAGCAACAGCTGCACCAGCAGCAGCTTCGAAGCGTCCCCCCGCAGCTGCAGCAACAGCTACAACAGAAACAAATTTCGCAGCAGCTGCAGCAGTTGCAACCGCAGCAACTGCAGCAGCAGCAACAGCATCAGCTACAACAGCAACTGCTACAACAGCAACTGCAGCGCCAGCAGCAAATGCAACAAGAGCAGCCAGTGCCAAGACAGCAGCCGCTTCCTTCTCCGCAGCTTCAACAGCAACTCCTATTACAACAACGGCAGCAGCATTTGCTGCTGCAGCAGCGGCAACACCAGTTATTGCAGCATCAGCAGCTGTTGCAGCTCCAGACATCCGCTTTGCCGTCCAAGGAGGCACAGCCCACTGGTGCCGCAACTCAGCTGCAGCACCAACAACTGCAGTTGCAGAGGCATCTCTTTCAACAGCAGCTGTTGCAGCATCAACAGATGCTGCAGCAGCAGCAGCAGCAACTGATTCAGCAGCAGCTGCAGCAAGGGGCGGATAAGCGCGGTGCTGCTTGGGCATCTCCCGGAGAACAGCAGACAAAGAAACAGAGGGGAGACGGCGTGGGAGACAGCAGCAGCAGCAGCAGCAGCAGCGGGGCCCCTGCAGACGCAGAGGAGCTGCAACAACCGTAAGGGGCCTTCGGCCGATAGCGATTTTGGCTGAGGCAGATAGCTGCTGGTGCGTTTCAATTGCCTTCACTATAGCTGCTGCCGAAACAGCGAGCCGGTATATGTACAGTGATCTACGAAAGCCCATTTGCTAAGTTACACTGTACGGGAGTGCCGTGGAAGGGCAGCTCTTTCGTTTCGCATTGAAATGCTAGAGTTTTCTGCAGCGTAGCAGTAGCGCATAAGCCCGTAGCAGAGGCGGCTGCAGCAGATGTGCTGCTGCGCTGGCTATTCGTCTATGTACCAAGCGGACGCGCATAGAGTCAGTCCTCATGGCAACGTATCGAGCAGGGGTGTATCCCGCCTGATGGCAACGCGACTGCACAAACTTTTGCAAAGTCACATGGTGATACCTACTCTAGGCTAATCACGGCACTCCTTATTAGGTCTTGCTCTTTTAGAAGAAAATTCGGTTGGTTCCCCCTGTTTCCGCCGCTCCAGGGAGGGACTCCCCCCATACCGACTGCAAGCCAAAAAGACAAAGGGCTCCCATTCTACCTGCTGATCGAGGAAGCGGCGCGTCAACACGCAGCCGCAGGCACAAACGGGAGTCCATGAGTGAGATGGTGCGCCAGCTGCTACAGTGCATCCGCATCTGCCTTTACCATCGTGCCCAGTCATGACATGTTTAGATGTTGCGTGCAACTTGGCTCCTTAGTTGCGCCGACCACGGCTGAATTTGCTGGTGTAGGCAAATGGGTTCTCAGGGGGTGGCGGGGCTGCCACAGAGGCCCCCCTTTCCTGGGGTGGCGGAGGCCCCGGGATGGGCAAGGGGGGCCCCATCGGGGGGCCTCCGGAGGGGCCCCCTCCCCACCTGTGTCGTACATTGCGCGCATAAGGTCCCTGATCCATAGGAGGCATGTGATTGGCCATTAGGCAGGCTTCAAGTTCCTCTCGCGCGCGTTTTCCTCGCTCGCCTCCTTCCCCTCCTCTCCCTGGGTCGTAGAAATCCCTCCATTCATCGCGCCACTGCCGGCCGCTTGTGCCTTGAAAGAAAACGAAATTTGCACCCAGTTCAACACAAGAATTTGAAATTCCCATGAACTGGCCACCGCTATTTTGCAAGGAGCACCGGTACACACAAAGACACAAACACATACATGCACACAAAGGCACAAACACATGCACACACGCATACACACACATATAAACACGCATACACACACATGCACGCACGCACAAAGGCGCATCGTGTCACATCATTCAAGTTTCTTGATGGCTTTCACATGAAGGGTAGCAGCCGCATACACATATGCAATACATAGATTTTTATTCGGAAAGGTGTGTGTGCGTCGTCTACGTCGTACCCCTTCCATATTTTCTTTCTCCATCTATGTCTCGGCCGCTGTCGGGATCGACGCGGATGACTCGCCCATCGCACTGGGCCCCTGAAAGGATCTGAACGGCCACGTGAGCTTCTCTGGGGGAGCGGAAAAATATGAAGGCAAATCCACATGGCGCTCTCGTAAGCCTGTTTAAACCCATCACTATTCGGTCAACCGATCCCGCATGCCTGGCAAGCTGCACAAACAGTGGGCACAGCCAGCGTGACAGATCCTCATTCGCTCCCTGGCGCGGCGCATGTGCGTGGTGAAACAGTGTAGAATCATGCACAGGGGAGGATCGGCACCCGAAAACAAGCAACTAGTCGAGAGAAGCGACAAGAGGCATCTTTCATGAGAAGCTGCATGGGTGCAAACCTCATAGAGCTCTTCTTCTGTGGTGAAGTAGTTCAAATTGCCGACATAAACGGCTCTGGAGTTGCGGACGGCCTCATTCCAGTCTTCCAGAGAGCTGCACGTCTTCCTATCATAGTAGGTGGGCACCTTCTTGAGGCCCAAGTACAGTTCTGCCATCCTTAAAGCAGGCTAGACATGGCATGGATGCCGCCCTATATCTAGACCCCCATACACCTTGAGAAGACGGACCTTGGCCTCCAGACATTGGAAAACACAAATGCTGAATTTTGCTTGAACGAAAATGCGGGCAACCGAAACTCGCTAGCGTGGAGCTGGAGACATCATCATTTTGCATGCAAAGGATGGGGCTGCGGTAAGAGGAATGGCGGTTTCTCTTGATATACGTACTTCAAAGAAAAATCCTGTCGCTTTCTGCTTTATTGCGGCAGAACCCGAAGCGACGTGTAATTCGGTCCTTCTAGGACCGCCACGGCTTTGAGTAAAGTAAAGGGAATGACTTAACTCAGCGAGGCGTTCTGCCAATTGAATACACTTCGAAAAGGACGTGCTGATGCTGTTCAAATGATTTTTCTCCGAGCAGAGACTGTCTCATTGGTCTGCTTTTCGTCTCTCCGCTAAAGTTCACATCTCCAAAGACACGGGAGCCGCCCAACCGAAACAGCGACATCAATAAGACAGTCGCCAGGAGCCTTGTTAAGGCAGATAGATTCATCTTCTTCGGAACACCTGTCTTAGTTCACTTGTCCTCGTCTCTCTCCTCCCCGTTCTGGTACGCAGCCGCGCCTTCGTTTTGAAAGCGGTATACACTGGAAGCCTGGCAGACACACACGCCGTCTGCAATAGACTGAACAGGAGCGAAACGGCGATAATGGGTTTTATCGCTTCCTCTGCTCTAGCGGTGGGTGCAGCCGCAGCAGTTGTTTTCGCCATCATCATTGCCTTCCATGACTTGGCGCTTGAAAGGCTTCGGAGATTTTGCATCCCGACAGCAAAGGAGGCGGAGTGGGCCGCTGCTTATGTTGAGGTGGCAGATGAAGACGTTGATGTTCTTTCATACGGCGAAGAAGAACTAGGGGTACTCGATTAGTAGAGCTCAGATCACCTCGCTTTCCCTCGCGTGCCATAGCCCTCCTACTGAGGCAGCCTTCACGTCATGACACTTGCATTTCACCGTTTCCCACCATGTGGGGGCGCATCAAAGTGGACGGAGAGGCCTGTATATGCCTCTCTCAGACATCAGAAGAGTTGCAACTGGGTGCCTTCAGAGCGCGTTCATGGGAAGCTTGGGGGGTAGAGCCTCACCGCTTTGTGCCTTGTTTATGCGGCCTGCTATTTCTTACCGTTTGTGTTTGTCAATTTCATCCAATTGTTTTGGTACAGGGGGCGGAGAGCTTTCTCGAAGAGCCCGAGGGCTTTCTACTGACTTCCTTGTGGGACGGCCGCATTGTTCGGCTCCTAACCGATCGAAAGATGCAACATGTCGCCTCAACAGGTATCCCCTGTGGCCGAGTTTCCAGTAATCTGTTTTCTTGCCCGCCTTGCCTATTTTTGCATGCCCTTTTATTGTCTGCTCTCTACATTCTTTTTGCCTGCATCTTGAGGGAGGACGTAGACAGGCGACTTTTTGGGGGGGTGGATTGAGGGTGCAGAAACATCGTGCAGGAGATGCTTTCTACCCTACGTGTGCCACAGGATGTTCATTTTGCGCTTAAATTACACTGCTTTTATTGAAAGGAGGGTGAGGGCTGATTGCGGCTTTTTTAGGCAGTCACCACGGCGTGTCTTGCTCGCGGGATCGCCAGAAAAGGGTCGAGACGCGCTGCTCTCGACCCCTTGGTCTGCAGTTCGCGTCAACTCCCCGGAAGGAAGACAAAACATTCAGTCTTGTAGTTTGCGATGGCTGGCGAGGCCTTCTGCAAGTGTCTGTCCCATCATCACAACAAATCGAAGCGGGTGTACCGCCCACACCTTCGTCTCATGCGCGCCAGCTCTTGCAAGGCGCAAACAGCCAATCAGTTTTCATCCCCAACGCCATTACGGAACAAGTGGATGGGAGATTTTTCGTTACTGATTCTTCCGAACACAGCGATGCCAGCCGGGTAAGCGACTCCCCCCGTGAATAGTACCACAGAAAACATCCATTTCGCAGGACAGCCCAGGAGATGGGCATACCTCTTACACGACACAGCAACAGAGGAGCTTTGATTTTAGAGGGCAGCACAAGTCCTCTTCTGCCTTTCGAATAATTTCGTAGCGCAGCGATTGACCACCCCACGCCTTCAAAGAGCGCAAATGCTCATTGTGCTTTCCCTTTGCGATGCAAATTTGAATGAGCCGCTGGACTTCCAACATTACCCGCCTGACAACTCATGGTTTTGATGTTAGGGGGTGTCGTCGAGGCTGTGCTGAGGCTCTAGAGCGTAAAACGGACGGCCTTCATTATGGGCTTCTCTTGTGCCTTGCGGTGTCTGTACAGTTCGGGCTGATTCCTTTTGAAGGCGCCAACTCAGGCACAGGCCGTCTGTTGTCTGTCGACCTCCAGTAAGCCGTCACGTATGTTGTGGAGCTGTCGCTTGTGGCAGTGCTGCAGGAGGTGCCTCTATATCTGTCTGACGATTGAAAGCAGCTGGTGCATGAGCACATATGCTGCGTCTCGTGGCATATGCTCCTTGCCCTTCATGTGCGTTCTTGCTTCTCCTTCTGGACAGGATGGACACCGCGGAGGTTGTGGGTGACGCTATTCCGTTTGCAAATGGTGCAGTCCTCTCGTACGATAGGTCAGGAGTTCTGGTTGCGGCACTAAATCCTCGCGAAATACGGTTTTACCCCTTGAAGCCTGCCAATTCTCGTGAGCTCTAGAGATCACAGTAATGGCAGCGGTTAAACGGGGACGTGACAGGGATGCAGAGGGAAAGATGTAGCGGATGTACACCTTGTCGTGACGAGGCGAGGGGAACGGATTATCCGCCTTTTGAAGGGTCACCTTAGGATGACCAGCTATTGATGATGATGCATAGTCGAGCACAGCATTTTGGATATAGGTGAAAGAGTCCTGCTTTAGTACGGCCTAGAATCTGCGATCCATGTCGTGTTTTGCAGCCGTCTCTGGGCTTGTTTGTTCGTTATTCGAGTTCTTGAGGCTCTATGGCACAGGACTGCGGCTCTGTGGGCTTTTTGTGTCGTATTGCGTATTGTTCAGAGGACTGGAAACTCGTGAAGACGTTGCCTGTGCCTCCAGATAACTTGACGCGCGTGCCCGTGAATGGGCAGCGGCTGTATGCTGCTGTCTCTTTTGGGGCCGCCTTTCTACCTCCGTTTTTCGTTAACAGTGACGCAGATGGGCTTTGGCAGCAGCTAAGGGCGGCTGCATGGACGGCGTTGAGTAGAGCCACGAGGCCCTACAAGCCTTTTCCGCTTTTTGGCGGGCTGTTGTTTCCTGTGAGACTTGTAGAACGATTTCCTAATGCCACCCAAAGACCTCCCAGGCGGATGCGCCTCTGTGAACATGGCAGCACTCAAAAAAATTTTGTGGCTTCGAGTGTTGCGGGAAATGGCAGTGAAAGGCACCGCCTAAGAACTGCTGAAAAGCTGTATAGACAGCAGCTAGGATCAGCTGCATCAGCAGTACTGAGCAAGCGGATGACTATTTTGCATGTGTCTTTCTTTTGGTTCTGAGGTTGCTATGCCACTTGCGTGAAAATGATTTTCAGGTGATGCGGCTCCTTCCTGCGTCCTTCTTTGACTTTTTGATCAAATTTGGAGCAAGGAAAAGCAAACGGGGGGGCCAGGTCCTCCTGTTCGACGAGAGGGGCAAGCTGCACAAGTGGCTTTCTTGTAAGACCGTGTTCATGCTTGTCACGTTTCGCAAATCGCTTTGAACTCTAAACAAAATATGACAGTCTGCACGCCTTTTCCGTGTAATCTGCACACAAATAATCTTTAATGCCATCTAGTGTGTGTGGATCCATGTATTTCTTTCTTGGTGTTGTCTGTTCTTGTGTTCTGCAGTGCCACCCAAGTGCCGCTATTCCTCTGAAGCCATCTTGCATAAATGGCCTGGAGCCACCGAGCCCGTGATGCTTATCGGGGCCTTCAGACCAGAGCAGCCCCTCTGTCAAATCAAAATCAGCAAGTATCTAAGTATGTAACGACCTAACTAGTGTTTTAACCGGCTTTGCGCAGTGGCTTTGTTTGTCATATGAGCGTTTTGTTAGCTCATGCAAAAAGAACAGATGGCAGGTTTGGCGAGCGGCATTCGTGGAAATGTGGGAATAAGCAGTAAGCGCTCACTCCTCGTGATTTGACGAGTCCTTCAGCTGCTCTATTCCGCTCTAAGCGTGAAGAAGAGTAAAGCATATGAGGGAGAAGGGAGAGAGAAGGCGATGCAAAGACCCAGGAGGAAAACCCGAGACTGAGACAGCGTGGGCTTCTGGGTAGCAGAAGGGCTCATCCCCCCTCTCTAAACGCGCTAATAGTGCCGTTTGCGAGTCCTTCATGTGGCTCCCTTCGCCGGAAGTTTCGTTCTATCATGTTTCCTGTTCTTATATCTGTTGATTTTTAGCTGTGTCGTCTTTCCTTTCAATCGTGCATTTCCTTTGTTGGCTCTCCAATAGGGGAAAAGTTTGCACTCCCGCCGTCCCCACTGGTAAAATGACTAAACGTTGCGTCTGTATTTGTGCATTTTCACAACGGCCAGACTAATACTCAAGTATACAAGGCCCACAAAGGACTATGAGAACAAAAACTGACACTGGGAACGAGAAGTTTTTGAGCGGCCAGCCAGCCCTGTCTGGGGCTGAGTTTCTAGTTCGTCAGCAGGCCTGGACCACCCTGATGTAGAGAAAAAGGTGTTGACCTAACGGTATTGAAGCATTGGTTGTGCATATGGCGTTATGGCCATGCGGGAGATTATGTGCTGCGAGCAAGTGACCTCCGTGGTGCCTCCTTTGCTTGACATAGGCATGGCAAACACAGTAGCTGAAATAACTCGCCCAGGTAGAAGACCCTTTACCTACTGATGCACATCAAGCATGCTAGCCTGACAGCTGTCTGTTGTAAGATCTAGTTACTTCACGAGCCACAGCATGTGCCTTTCCCTGCCTACCCTCCAACTTGGGCTTCGTAAAGAGGGATAATGTACGAAGCCTATTGCTTGTGCACCGGTGCAGCCTAGTGTGCACTTATTTTGCTCGGTTTGGATTATTGACGGCTAATAATGGTCACGAAGCCTTCTACTGAAGCATTTTAGGTGTCTTCTACACACGATGACTGATCTCACCGATGAGCAGCACACCGTTCCTCCAGATTTTAAATATGTTTGTGTACACTAATGGAAAAGCGAGAACATTTTGCTCTTCAAACTGTCGCTCAAAATAGTCTTGCGGCTATAATGGAAAAATTCGGCTTCGCAATGAGCATCTAATACCACTTTAATAGTGCCACAGCGCCAGGCTGTTCCTCTCGCCGCCTCGAGTGTCTCTGCAGCAGTTGTCTGGTCTGCGCAAACCCACCAAGTGAACGAACAAATAAAATGTAACTTGTATTAGATCTTGTTTTTCTTGAGGGCTTGCCTTTCTTTTTATCTTTTGCTTGATACTGCTGTCCGTAAGAGCCATCATCAGCAAACGGCGAACTATAGTCCGACCAGCGGTCCATGTTTGTCGTGTCCTGCTTTTCTTCCCTGTTCCAACCCTCTAAAACTGCAGTTTAGTACTGTTTACCTTTCCTCCTCATCACCTGCGCGTCTCATCTAGCGATGAGAGGCCATGCGACTGCCTCCACTACTTCGCCATTACCACCGTCGACTTTATATAGTTTCACTTTACCAAAGCTCCCATGCGGCCCGAATAAGTTCAAAAGGGCCTCTTACCAAAGTATTAAAGAGATCTACTCATGTTGGGAGCACTAAATGCTGATTTTTCCGTCGTAGCGAATACCACCCGTCAATGCGATGCCACTGCTGCTGTCTGCCAGAAAAAAAGTATTCGTAACAATTGGAAAAAACAATGGCGGCATTAAATGCCGTGATCGGAATAATCGAGGCTATGGAGGATTCCAAGAAGAGACAGGCAGCACTCGACTCGCATCAATACTCGAAGAATGGTAAGCACTGCTCTTTCTTCCTTCATCTGGTTGCTTCGTCAATCCTTTCCTCATACGCTTAAAACTAATAAGCTTACGTGAGGGACTGTCCGATTGGTATGGATTAATATTGTAAGTCTCTGCCCTTTCTTCTTTCCCTCAGGAATTCTACGCTATGAATTCATCTTTGGCCGGTAACACACTACCTATTGCTTCTCCCAACCGGAATACGCGTCCATGCAGCTAAACTGGAAAGAGAGCATGCAGGCAGTCTGAACGCCGTCTGTAGCTCACTGTTGGGCTCTTCTCTGTTTCCTTAGGCAGCTAGATGCAGTAGGGTTGTTTGTAAGGCTTTCACATCTAACAAACAGCTGCATTCATGCGGCCTGGTGTTGCTGTGTTATCTCTTTTTGGCCGGCTGCAGCGGCTTCGTGTCCTCTGGAGGAGGAGAGACGACGGCTGAGATACTGAAGGAAGTCTCTCTTCCGAATTTCGGCAAAGCCATCGGTGAGCACAAAACAAGCTAATGTTAAGCCCCCAAACCTGACACATTTTATGCCTTGACGTGTGCCTTCAAGTGTGAAGCTTTTGCAACCATGAGCATTTAAGCATACCTTCAGGACTTTGCGCCTTATCCACTCCTACCATCGATGTGTTGCACTTTGATTATGTCCGTGTTCTTGTTTACTTGTCTGCGTGCGTTGTGAACTTTGCAGATGTAGGGTGCGGCATAGGTGGCAGCACAACAGCCCTTGCTGAGACGTTCAATGCCCATGTAATGGGCATAGATTTGTCTTCCAACATGATTGCGATTGCAAAGGAACGATGTAACGCTCGGTCCGATGTGGAATTCCTTGTGGCGGATGCCTTAAATATCCCAATAGCTCCAGAGACCATCGACCTCGTTTACAGCAGGGACACTATTCTGCATCTAACCGTCGAGGAGAAGAAGCTACTTTTTAGCAGAGCCTTCTCTTGGCTCAAACCAGGTGGACAGGTAATATTGGCTCTTTATTTGGCCAGAGAGGCAGCCGCAGCTCTTTCCCGCGACAGCAGGTGTTCTTTTATTGGGCACTGTACACATCTTGTGTGACGTTTGCTTTTTCCTGTCTCGTTACGGCCTTTAGGTTGCACTTGCGCTGCAATGTACTCACAATTCACTGAAAATGGCGCTTTTACAGATTTACCTAAGCAGAAATGCAAATGGTGCTCCACCTACTTCATGAAAAAATACTACACGTCTATACAGATCTACTTCACCCGCTTGGTGGCTATGTGATTTGGCACAAGCACTTACGATTGTGTGCGGTTTTTCGGTGTGTGCGGCCTCTCCTCTGTCCTCTTGATTTTCTGTACCTTTTCTCCGTTTCTTCATCTTTTGCAGCTCGTGATTACAGATTACTGCTGTGGACCCCCCGAGTCTTGGGACGACGAGTTCAAGGCATATCTTAAAGAGAGGAACTACCATCTGGTGCAGCTAGACCAGTACAAGCAGCTTTTGGCAGACACCGGGTTTCATGTAGTTAAAGCAGCAAACCACACACAGAGGTGAGTCTGTTGAAGTCGAAGCAGCTCGGGATGCCAATGCATGGTATACGCCTCGTTTGATTGTAACCTATCAGCATATCCATGTGCGTGTGCAGTTGTATTTCAAGCGCACTGTACCGGTACTTCCGTGCATTTCATGAACAGTTGTATGCCAGTATGCTTGTTTAAACAGTACTTCTTTTTTGCCAGTTGCTTGTTTATTGGCTCTGGTATTAATTAATCGGTTGCCTCTCGTATTTGTTTTCAATTGAACCGAACTCGTGACGATCTCTTCACTGTTAAGCTGCCTTTCATTTCTATTTTTCCTGCATTTAATACGTCTCGAGGTCCTGCTTCCTATCGATCATTTTGAACGCTCTATTTATCTTGTCTGTCAAGGTGGCTAAAATCCTTGGATGAGGAGAGCAAGCGGCTGGAGGCAGAGAGGGATAACTTCATGGATGTTTTTACGCTAGAAGATTTCGAGGATTTGCGGGACGGATGGGAGAGCAAGAAGAAAAGAGTTGGCAAAGGACTCCAGTTTTGGGGCTTCTTCATTGCGTTCAAGCCCACTGAGAAGCCCACAAAGTAGTCTCTCATCAGCGTGCAAAGTATACAAGCCAAACTGAAAATTCACACATCCACTCACACAAGACCGCAGACAGCGAGGGATAGCGCAACTGGGCAACTTCAGTCCACGCATATACAGGCAGTGAAATCACTCTTTCGAACGGATGGCTTCACTTTGTTGCTACGTTGCCCTGATGTGTGCACACTATGTCTGTACATAAGCGACGCTTCACTTCCAGTAGGGACTTCCCCCCTTTTTTAATTGTCCGGAACGGCCTAGACCTGTTGACAACTGCGATTCAAATGAATCTACTGAACAGGATCTGTACTTGTTATGTGCTCGGGTGAATGGGCAATACATTTGCGGTTGATGAATCGTTAGGGTCCAAAATACAAATATTGTGATCCTGATTTTTTAGAAAGCTGTGAGCATGCATGTACCAAAAAGTGAGCTACGCAACTGAAGAACTGCGCTGTTTCCACCTACCATTCTCTCCAGTCGAACGCTTTATCGGTAGCTCACCCGTCAACTAAGAGACTCTGCTGTTGCTCTCACCCAACTTGTCAGGAAAATGTCTGCGTTGCAGCTAGCCCGTAGGAGCATCCGCTAACAAAGTGGTACCTGGCTCTAAACTAGGAAAGGCTCTTTGATTTTCTATGCCATTGTAAGTTTGTAAGCCACTTTTGAGAGGCAAGACGGACGTTGAAGGCCTACAGATAGTCAGTGTAAGTCACTATAGGGCTCGATTCCATGGTGTGCCGGATAGTGGCACTGGAGATAGGCAGGTCGAAAAGCCTTTCCCGCTTGATAAAAATGAGCAAGGCCGAGAAAGGTGAGCTGAATTTTTTCCAGGTTTGAACCCCTATCATAGAGATACGCGAACTGTTTGGGGTTCGTTTTTCATAATTAAATACATTACCTCGATCAACAAGCTATTCGCATGTTACCGAGCTCCATGATGTAAAATCAGCGTTCAGTAGTGCAAGGAAGTACACTAGTGGTACGAGTTTTTAAAATTCGAGATCGATTTCAGAAGTCCTATGCAGTAATCAATGTAAAAGTGACGGCCATCACAAATAAAAGCCGTTTGCTCTCAGTGTTGAAACCGCACACAACCCATTGAATTGGTCAGCACGGGCATTAGCAAGACAATTATCCTTTGCCTCCTTTGGGCCATTCTGGCGTTTCTTTATCACAACACTAGAAGTCGCATGTGAGAATGGATGTTCATATCTGCTTGTCTTTGCCCATTTTACTCATCTTCTCCTGTTATCAATGCTTCAGTTGTATTATTCGAAACTGTAAAACAGTCAGAAGTAGCAAAATGTGATCCTATGTGTAAAAATCCACCAAACTTCTCCGTATGGAGGGACCTCACCCCGAGTTAAATGCACACTTGAAACAAAGTTACTAAGTGTACTCAAAAAACTACCCGCCTTTCCTGGCTGCACCTCTGGTCAATCCGACATGAGGGGCAAGGAACAGATAGGGTGCGCGTTGATGCACCGACTAAGCACTCCAAGCATTCGCAGCTGTTCGCAAATGGCATCTATTGCACGTGCACACAACATTGCGTATTCTTGTAAAGACCTAACAGAACTCTGCTAAAAAAAGACATACCAAGTAGTCCATTTTCATTGATTCTCACTTGTAATACAATTAGTGCAGCGGAAATGTTTGAGTGAGGCTTATCCAGCTACGGCATTTACAGCTGGTTGTACATTGAATCTAGTGCTCATGTACAGAACAGTGTGTCTCGTCGTATCAAGCTAACTCTATTCTCTGAAATGAAATAGAAATGCAAGCAGCCAAAACATCTATTCGATTCTTTACCCATTCTTACTCAAAATGTAATTGGCGTGGGAGAAAGCATTTAAACATAGCCTAGCTCGCTGGCGCTATTGTTCAAATTATGATAATGCAATTTGCCCCACCGCCGCGTGTGTACAACAACGATTGCACAGCCTGCTCTGAATGAAGAATTCATCTGCTGTCCCGCAAGGATGCGTAGGTAAAAGCGTATTTCTTGTATTGTCATTCAGTGTAATTCTATCGATGTCCAGATTGAGGCTGATGGGTCTAGCGTGACCTACGAACATGTCAGGCGTAGAGGAACAAACTAGCCATCGCATACAACTTGTTGGTTTGCTGGAGTGGTTTGCGTGTGGCTTTGCTCCCTAACGGCGAACATAAGTATGTCATAGCCATAAATTGCTGCAGTAAATAAACCAAGGCTGGTATATCAGAAAAAGGAATCTCTTTTCTCCATGCGTGCAAATACATAGAGGACTGAAAATCGTGACTGAGTGAGCTAGTAGAACGCAACATTGGCAAGCTGGAGACCTTAACTGGACAGTCTCAGCCCGCATATCCTTGTTGCCACAAGAAAGAGCATATACTGTAGGCTATTTACTAGCGGCCAAGCCTCAAATCACTTTCATCCGTTCCCGCAGGTGCAGATGCAATGGACACTCAAGCCCAGTAAATCGAGCCTATCTCTATTATTACCTTGAAGCTCATTAGAAAGGTAGGAAAAGTGGCAGTTAGGGGCATTTTAAAGATATATTTAGAATCCGACGGCCGTTTCGCCTCGTGCTTCGAGGCACCTTCTCCATGCAGCAGCTCATGTATTGTGGTCGGGGATTGCAGGCAGCGCGATAACCAACTACGAAGCACAACATTGATGAGGTACAAATCCACACATTTGTGTGGTAGGACTGAATGAAACTGCTCAGATACACTAACGGGAACGAGGGCTTGTTCGACTCCTCGTAGTTTACATTACTCTTGAATCGAATGCTTGCGTAGGCTTAAATGACAGGGGGAGGGGTGGGGCGTATCCATCTGATAGTAAGATTACTCTGTATCAATGAAATTTCTCTGCTATAAGCAAAGCAGCACATACCAGCAGAGCTGGTTATCCACATGCAGTAGCTCAAACTGGCGAGACTACTGGTTTAGCGTGTGCCCTACGCGAGCTCACGAGAAACAGCATGTTCACCATGTAATAGTACATAGTTTTATTTGTATTTATGTAGTTGTATTCAGTGGAATCACCGTGCAAAATGAGGCAGAAAACTACTTTTCAGCAGAGTGTGTTGCTCTGGGGCTGACCAGACAGAAACGCAGAGCTTGGCTTATCTAGCGCGTCTAGAAGCTCTGCAGTCTGTTTGTTCGTTTCTTCATTTTCTCTTCCATTAGACCTTTTTATCATCTGTCTGTTCCCTGATCTTTAGCTGCTTTTGTGTTCCCTCAGTCTTATCCGCAAGCTGCACCGATTTGTAATAAAGACCAACTTCTGCCTTCTTGACAACTCCACCATGAAAAACGCTGGGCTTAAATTCGGACTTCTGCAGTTGCTTGTACCTATTTGCTTGCATTCATCCCAGTGTCACGAATGGGAGTCACGAGGCATTCTGGAGTTTCCCGAACAGTTATCTAGAAGCTCACCTCATTGCACTTGGTCTGTGTATCAGAATGTCGCGGACCAGAGTAGTTATTATCTTGGACTGCATCAAACCTCCTTCTTCCCCCCTCCAGACCCATCATCCCATACAGTCCGCAGCTGCCAGCTGTTTTTCAGTGCAGATCAGTTGGTTGAGGCTAAGCGCTTGGGCAATGCACGTATTCAGTCTGTACGCGTTTATTTCAATCCAGTAAGCCGCCTTCTAGAGATCAGACTGAGGCTACTTCAAACCATGGGCCTGAAGTACGAGGGTCACCGGAATTCGGATGACAGGGGCATCGCAACTGTGCAATTGACTATGCCGCACCACTGCATGTTTTTGAAAGACGACCCTATGGCTTTTTACTCCGAGAAGAAGCAAGATAGCTACATTTCATATGTCATGATCAGCCTATTACCGGAGGAATTCGCAGTGTATCGACCTTCCCAATCGTCGTTCCCGCCGTATACGATCACGCTAGAGGCTCTGCTTGACTCCACGTTTGTACCAGGAGGTCCCTGCCTGTTGGTTACGAGAGTATGGGCTAGGCCGGAGGAGCTAGTACTGGAATCTTCGCTTCAAGAGCTGAGAATACGGCAAATTCTTGGCAGTGACAAGTATAGAATGATTCGGCTTTTCCGGTGGGCTGATTGCCGATGTGCTCCCCAAAAGCTGAGGGAGCTTGCTTTCTGGCTTCTTCCCCAGGGTGAAGAAACAGTCGTTATCGTTCACACTGGAAGGAAACCAGGGGAGACTGACACTGTGCGGTGCCAGAGGCAGCAGATTCCAAAAACCAACTCATAGAATGCCCACCTGAGGCCTCAAGTTTACCACCGCATTTCCGCACTGGTGTCTCCTTGATCCCACGAACAGTTCTGCCGCTGCTGAGTCCATCAGGGCATGCCTGTGACCCGAATGCTATGAGGGAAATCCCAAGGTAACATTTTATAGCTTTTATGGCGCATAATTAAGGGTTGCGCAAGCTGACTTGCGGTAGCCGATGTTGTGGTCGGTTGTGTAGCAAACTTTTAATTTTCCCGGCCGCCTACCACGCGCTGCAAGAGCTCGAGCAAGGTAACATGTTCTGAAGCCCTACAACGAAGCTATGGCTCTTGAATGTACATGAGGTGACGTTTCAAATGACTGTCGGCTGTGCAGTCAGCACAGGTGTACCATGGCATCCTGGGAAACAGGGCTATTATGAGAATTTCAGCAACGAAGTTATGCGTGTTTAGAGCCAGAGCCGTGGAAGTAACATGGGGCATGTATAAGTGATGTATATGCACGGCACTGGCGATGAGTTTGCAACGAATTTTTCAGGCATGCAACGTTTTTCTGCATCAGTTCCTTCATGGTATGTGCAATGCAAGTGATCGGAGGAACATTTGGCTATGCGCATGAAGTATTGAACAGCCGTACCATTGTTCACTCCATAAATTTAGTGGGCCTAATAGGATACAAATGAGTTAGTAGTCTGGTCCTTTTTAATTAGTGCACTTCTGCTATGAGATCAGGTGCGCGTACACCTCATGGCATTAGCATCTGTTGCATGAGAGTATACCGCCACACACGCAACGAAGGGAGGCACTTTTCGGCTAAATAGGTGAAGTTGTAGACCCTTCTGGACTTTTAAAAGTTCAGAGGGTTTTTCACCAGTATACTGCGACGCTACGCAGAACAACAGGAACGCCGGAAGATGATGGGCAGTGCAAGCTGCTGTTTCCTCTTGTTCCATGTGATAGTGTTTGTCATCACACAGCCTGCTGCTGAAGCGGCCTCAAAGTTTGAGCAGGCGAAAGCGTCTTCAACACAAGGGCCGGAGTTCGATGCATCTCAGGCTCTTCAGCCTGGTCCGTCATATTGGTGCAGCGCTGGGCATCATCCCGACGATGAACAAGGTGCTAGTGTTATCAAATTTGCATATATTCTACTCATATGAAGTGTATTGTGCCTCTAGTTACGTGGAGCGCAACCATGGAAGCCCCAACAGTTCTCCGTGGTTTACGAGTCGCATGGGCGTATTCCCCCGAGGTGGGTTAGCAGCGTGTGGATGTTCTTCTGGGCTGAGGATCTCATGCTTGCCATCAGCTGGTTCAAGTGTCAGTGTCTTCAGATGGTAGAAACTGGGTTGTTGCAAGCCCTTTCAAGAGAACCCCTAGTAATGACGGTGCGGCACATATGTACTCAGGACTTGAGTCATGAATCTAAAAGAAAGCAACTTCAGTGGCATTCAATGAGGACTTATTCTTTGACCATCCACACACTGTGAAAGCAGTCATGATAACAATGCGGAAATGCCTACATGATTACTTCGGTATCAGCGAAATAACACCGATCGAAACAGGAGAGCCGCTGTTGATGATTGTCAGCGGAATTACGAGCAAAGAGGAGATGTGCCTCCAGGTGGGATCTCATTGTAGCCACACCGAATTGAGAATATCCGCTTATTCTGAAGGAGATAGGTAGAAGGTGGTGCATACAACAAGGAAGGCGCTCACGTTGTGCTGGATGCTTGCAGCCGAGCAATCGCAGCTGGTGATGGACGAGTGGGTTTGTTTACTGGTGTTCAAGTTTAGTCTCATGTTTGCATAGACATATCGCAGGAAATATGGGTCCACAACATGAACAACCAGATTGTATCCATGAGAAGCAACCCGAAAAAGTGTATCACGCTTCAGGATGGAAAGATCGAGGGTACAGCAAATTTTTTAGTGATCGGTGTTTCAACCCCAAGTACCACCGAACTTCATCTGCAGATAACGGTGTACTCGTATTAACCGACTGCATCACGGCGCTCGAAGAGGGCGACGGCCGATCAACATGGACAGCCGAGCCGAATTCCCAGCTTCGTCTCGGGAAAGCAGGGTTTTATTGCATGACGCAGAACAATGTACACGGCTCTGAACCGGGAACAGGAGACATCGCCACATCCTTTGGAGCCTCTGCCATGTGTGATAGTTCAGCCGGTGCAGGCCATGACCCTGCTATGGCACTGGACCGAGATGTGAACACCTTTTGGGCTTCTGGATCGTTTCCTGATGCTGAAGAGCACCTCGTCGCTTTCGATATTAACCTGGGTAGGCGTGATGATTCTCAGCGCAAACGCGAATCCGAATTTGCCACTTAACGCTATTTGCAATAGGAAAGGCCGCACGTCTTGCTGCTCTTCGTATCGACTGGGAATATCCTGCCCTGGGTTACAAAGTGCAGGTCAGCACCGACGGGAAAGACTTCAGGTACGATTTCGGATAAAGCAGTTGTGTAATCCTCATCAGTAACAGCTGCTTGATTCAGCGATATGATAGAAACGGAGGCAAATCCCTCCAATGTGACGCTCGACATGCTGCCTGGGCCGACGGCTCAGCACGTGCGAATATTAATGACGCATCCGCACACAACAAATGGGAAAGTGGGGGACGAATACGTGTATGGAATTCGAGAGGTCTTTGCTTTGGCTAGCCGCCTTGAAACCGGTGTGGCAGATTGCAAGGAAGCGGCAAACACGGATGACGCTCGAGACAAATATTTCCTGCTGCCTATTCATGAATTCGACTTGGAAATCGCCGAGAAAATGCAATCATTAGAGGAAGACGTCTTATCACGCTCGAAGACTCTGAGCAAAAAATCGAAGGAGCTCATGTCAGGAATGACAAGAGCTCACACTTGTGTGGCGGAAAAGGAGGAATTCACCAAAAGAATTGAAGCATTGAAGGAAACTACATCTTCAGTTAAACGGGAACTCCTTACCCTATCCCATGGTTCGGCCGGTGTGGTACAGGAGCTTGGGTTTCTTCCAGGTACAGAGGGAGAAATCCCAGCAGTTGCGATTTAATATGAAATAAACTATGTTGCAGGCGATTCCCCAGACAATCCGGCTGAGGACTGTTTTGAGGCGAGAAACAGCGATCCTGATGCTCCGTCCGGGTTCTACTGGTAGGGGGAGAAAACAGTCAAACCACTTAGCACATTTCACAGACTTGGAACACCCAGGATCCTTCCCCGCTGCGCGCCTCACCCCCTTCGAGCTTTTTGTGACATGAAGACCAATACTTCGATGTACTTTTGGAAGAATCATGGTGGTGGCGCAGGGAATAGCTCAAAAGTTCATTCTCTGTCGTCACTCCGTTTACGTTGCGCGGAGCATGGTCTGGAGCCGTTGGTGGTGAACTCCCCTGAGCAGCTTAGTGCCCTCCGCGTAGCGCTCAAGCAGATTGGCAAGTTCAGATCAATTGCAATGACAAAGCAGGAGGAGTACAAAATCTAAATCGCTGCAGGACTTAGCGATGAAGAGAATGGAGTTGTGCCTTTGGCGCAGGATGTGGGCTGCTTGGAAGGAAAGTGTACAGGCACATACATGGTACGTCATCATGACAAGATGCGAACTTCCACCTCCCAGGCAATCCTCTCATTCGCACAGGATCTTTTTTCCGGCGCGACGGACTTGACCTCTCTGCTGGGAGAAGGCGCAACTTCGAATGACAGCCCTGTTGTATCTCCCACAGTGGGTAAGCAATACCCATATTCACTTTGTATTTTGAAGAAAAATATTGCCAATGAACCTCATATAAAGGCCTACGTCTGCCTGGGGCACATACAACCTATTTCAACTTGGAGACAGCAAATATCGCGGCAGTAGTCTGCTCAACAAATGCAGTACAAGGACAGACGGCTCTGTAAGGTCATATCTGTCTTGCGTCTTTCACACTCCATTCCACTTCTGCTTCGTGTGGACGCTTCAGACCGCACATCGATATCGGTTGTGAAACCGTGGCCGCACAGCACCCCGCCTTTTTTGGCATAGCGAATGTGAGAAAGAGGGCTCATCCTTGTCGCCTCTACTTCAACAATAACTCTTTTGATCCAGACTAACGTGGTCGTCGAGTGCCCACCGGGTTGTGCCGACGCCGTGTCACTGTCTGTCTATGGCACTGATGGAGTTTACTCCGATTTGAGTTCCATCTGCAGATCAGCAATCCATGCTGGCGTAATAAAGTCTGGAGGGATTGTCAGCGTTTCCCTGGAAAGCAGCCTGCCGGCCTACCAGGGGTCAATCAGCAACGGGATCAAGTCTGAGCCTCTCAACACCCCCAATACAATTGAACTACGCAACGAAATCCAGGGGGCAGAACCTATTGCAGGACTGCCTAGCAAAAGACGGGGCAGAGTGACACGTAGCATTCGGATAGTACCTGTTGCAAAGGTAAGCAAGACAGAAAGGAAGCCGCTGCGCAGTCTGTGGCTGTTACAGTCCATGCATTCGTGTCACAGGACTGCCCAATAGAGAGCCTTTCGTCTCTCGCAACCTCCTTTCTAGAGCTCGAGTCCTACAGTCGACTGAGTTCTGCAACCACAGAGACACCACACGAAAAGGCCGAGGACGTCTTGATTGATCCAGCGATTGCCGCGATGATGAACAACGTACTGCAAGCTATGGGTATGGGTATTGCTCCTTTCTTCTTATTGCACCGAATAGGATGCGGCAATGGACCGTACAGATGAGGTGCATGGGCTCGACCCCGTATATGTCTTTGGGGCACAGAGCAGCGCTGCTGAAGCTGTTTCGAGCCTAGAGGAGGTTCTGAAGCCTGCTGATGTACTTCAGAAGAAAACATTTACCGAGACGAGCAACCTGTGTGTTTGATTTTTGCGTTCCGCATTGGGACTTATTCATCACTGGCTATTAAAATAATCGACCATGTTGCAGGCTTCTGGAGGCCGAGGGTGTGGCATCCACCCTGCTGAACGCTTCAGGATCCGTTTCGAACAAACTGGATGGTCTGGTTTCTCAGCTGGAGAAAGTGGAACGGCAGCGGCTGAGTCAAATCGGATTCGAGTCCTTCGCCCTCAATTACACACGAGACGCTTTTCATGAGGTGTTTGAAGTGTTTGATAGTCTCAGAACGGCAGGTGGACCCAGCCACTGGGGATACGCGGAAAAAGAGTTAGATGGAAGGAAGATAACAATTGGGCAAACCTCTGATGTGAAAGGGAAGAGGCCGACCGACGGTACCTTTGCTTTTCTCAAGGGGCACAGTTTTTTCGATGGAGTTATTCATGCGGATTTCTATGTAAGAAGAATGAACACTCTTGTCTGCATCTGTCGCATTCTAGCCCCTTCCGCTTTCAGGCGTTTGACAAGGGAACAGTCGGAGTTGCATTCCGGCTGCGCGATCCCCAAAACACTTTTCTTCTTTGCTTTAATGGCGAACAAAACAGCATCCAGCTGTTCCGCGTAGAGGATGGGGAATCCTTTCTTCTGGCGCAAACAGAGGGAGTCCCCGCGTACAGAGAGAGCGCCTGGAATCGCGTGCGGATTGAAATGCACCAAGGCCGCATAAAGGTTGCAGTCGAAGACACCACACAAATCTGGCAGTCATTGATTGAGTAAGCTCTATGAATATCTACTTGATTGTAGCCGATATGCATAATGAAGAACACCAACAGTGTTTTCGACGAGCGATTTCTCTCCGGGACAGTTGGTCTCTTTGTTTCGGGTGTAAAACGGGGGGTCTTCTTCGACGGCGTTCGAGTGGATGCAGCCGAATGCTCCTCAATTAAAAGCGAAGGAACTTCTACGGAAGAAGCCCAAGAGCGATTCCGCACCTCCAAACGCAAACGAATTCGCCACGATGTACAAGCGAGAATGCAGGTGCGAATTGGTTTCCGCCTTGTAGACCTGATGTAGCTCATGCGCTTCTGTTCGTTGGCAGGAAGGGGTAGGAAGGGGGCGCATACAGCTAACGAGTAAACCGCTGAAAGTGAGATCCCATGAAGCAGCCGTTCCCTGGTAAGGCCCATGATTTTGTACCCGCCTGTTCATGCTAACCGCGAACATTTTCTCTGACGTTTCAGGACAAGGTGTTTTCAAGCCGTTCATCCACTAGAACGACAACAAGAGTGCTCTTTGATGGATCAAAACAACGAGACCGAGAAATGCGCAGCCAACTTTTGCACACGCTGCTGCAGCAACAGCACAGTGCTATTGGGAGCTGCAGAGCGACATCAGTGCTTACACCAATGCAGAAAAAACGAAACTCAGGCGACTGAACTGCGTGTACACGTTGACAAAATGCTGGAGGATTGCACAGATGTGCAGGGAGACGGATTCGCCCACTGCAAACAGGTAACTACCGCTCACCAGGTTTCGTGACAGCTACCGACCCGTTAAATAATGATGATACGAAATAGGGGGACGTCGCCTGTGAGCGGCAAGCCTGCGCGTTCTGCTGCGAAAGTAGTGACAAGGGAGAAGAACTGCGGGCAGAGTTGCTGGTGCACGTTCGGAAAAATAGAGCTAAGGAAATCAAGGCATGTCAACAGAACTGCCAAAATCTTGGTATATTGGATACATCAGTCCCTGCCGTCGTCTCAAACTGACGAACCAAACACGTTCCATTCCGTTGCTATCTAACACCACTGCAACTGCGGTTTGATGGAAGGGCCATCAAATTGGGTGCCTTGAAATGCAACGGACAGCGGCAGAGGGCACTGGGGTCTAGACCTCTTTTGCCGTCAGGAAAAATTACGCATACAATAATAATGCTTTACGGCATTATTGCCACGTAAATACGTGGACTGTTCTTGTTTGTTTGCGCTTGCATATTGGTTTCCTTGATTCCTACGGGACGATGGGTCAAGAGGTGCGAGAGGTCTTAAGACTGGGGAACGGCTCCTGGTTGCTGAAGACAATGACCATGTGTTCCCACGATATGTATCCCTGGCACAGAAATTGGGGGAAGCGCAATCAAGCATGCACATAAGCACACTGTGCAGCCTAGACGAGATGCAGAAGTGGAAACATTACACGCGAATGTGGTGAAAACGTGGTCCCGAAAAGAACAGCAAACTGCCTGACGCACTTTAATATATCCCATCCTGATGAGGTTGGCGCTAATGCAGGCCATCTGTACAGGAAAAAGCAAAGTGCATAAAAAGACCTGTATACTCCATAGAGGAACGCTACACAAACATCACTTTGCCTCATATGCACGATGAAAACCTAGTTGCCCTTATCCGGCTTCCCACAGATGTAAGCGGATATACATTTTGCATGCGCAGATTCATGTACTTTGGATACACCAGTTGCGTACTATATGCGCAAGCCCTCTGAATGATGTTTTCAAATACGCCGGGGGGGAGCATTAGTCGAGAAAACAAGGCAAAAATGTATAGACAAACGCTCCTATGGTCTAACAACTCTGCGAACCAACTATACATCTATACATGCGCGCAACAAAAACGTTGTAAACACATATTCGCTGCTTGACCAATCAATGTTCGCAGGGGAGCTACTGCCCATGACAGAGGAGCCTGTCAGAAGTCACACGTAGTAAAATGTGCATAAAATCCAATCTAGACAACCCGCTGCTGCCGCATCACACTCCTCATGAGAAAAAAGGTCAGACGTGCGAAAATACATGGGCAAGAAAATGACAAACACGAAAGACACGCGCAAACGCAAAGACGATACGTATACGGTGATCTCGGCATACGCCACCTAGCTAGCCACCTTTTCCTAACCAGCCGAGAGGTGCCTATCTAGCCATGAGCATCGCTCACTTCGTCATCGTCGAAGAGATCATCGGTTTGCCACTTGATAGCGGCAGTAAAGACTTGGATTGGCACAATATTTGCCTTGGAGGCTAAACCTGATTTCACCCACCACTCCTTCCTGCAGCGAAAAAACAGTATACCTAGGCGTACAATCGTAGAAACACATTGCTGAACAAGCTGTCTAACAATCAACAAATAAGAGATGCAAAACAATCGTTTAGAAATGGAGACGACTAAGCAAATGGAAAACAAGCAATGGTGAGCAGGCCGTTGCTTTCGTCCTGGCAGCTCACAGGCTTTGAATATGACCCCCAAACTGTTGGCAAGCGATACGAAAATCCCGAGTATTGCTGTGCATCTGATTAGTTCTCACATTCGTTTCATCATCGTGCGGAATACGATGAACTTCAGCCTCTCGATGCACAAAATGGTGCCGTGTTTTATGAAGATACTCTCGTTCTCTTCCTGGAGGAGAGCCAAAAATAACAGAACAAACGCATATACACATATGGAAATATCGAACTGGGGGAGAAAGCATTACAGAGTTGTGCCGGGGGCCACACAACAAATGCGCAAACGGCCTTTCTCTCCATGCAAGTTACAAGACCATAATATGCCTATCGATAGAGGCAGAGAGCTGTAATAGCCAGAGAGCATAAAAGTGCAGACTACGATACTCTAGTGCCGACAGCATTGAGGCACAAAAACTGTCCATTTTCTTCATATCGTTCGGCGAGTTAAAGTACTGATTCGTGAAAGAAACGAAGAGACAGGCAAAAGCATGCAGACCCACCATTGCCTTATCGAAAAGAGAAAGATTGCCGGTTTTCATTGCCTTGATGATGCCAAGGTAATGTGCCATCCTGAATCGCCACATGAACAATGCATTGAAGGCCGTCATCGGAAATCCTCTTTTTACAAGACTAAGTGAAGCGATAAGGCTGCCTGCGTTCCAGTTAATTATCGAAGAAGCACCACATTGGTCTGTGAACCCTAAACCCGTGAGAGAAATAGGAGGCAGCGCACGAAGAACTGACAAGTGAGGCATCGAGGGAAAAGGCAGCAGACACAATCCTCACTGGTATTTCTGCAGCAACGCGGCGCTGGGAAGTTTTCCCAGACGAAGCCGTGCGGCAACAAGACATTCAAGGATGTTCCTGCGAAGACACAAGCAAGGAGGCATCCAATGACGCCGAAGAATAAAAGTGAGAACATTGCGATAAGCGTGAATTGGAAAAGAGCAGTCAGGCAGCATGAATGCGAGCAATCGTGCATATCTTTGTTGCCCTCGAACCGTTTCGACCGAACAGAGAGCGACACTGCAAGCCACGTAGACGGAAAAGATAAGTTCCGCTGTTGTTGTAGAGGGAACCCATTGGCAGAAACGCATGTGGCGCACTTGTATGTAGAACACGACTCGCTAAATCTACTGCTCACGCAAACGTGACGCCTGCTTGAACGTGTGCTCCCCTGTGAAGCTGACCCCCACGCATCGAGCAGGAGTGTAGATGAAGGCAGAGTGCAGCGTCCCTTCGCCACACAGCCTGTCCACTCTACTACCAAGAATCGCTCGCAAACCAAGTAGAGGGGAAAGCTCGACTAAAAGAGGAAAGCACGAAACAACTGCCAACTAATAAAGTCGTGGATTCTCCCACCTGCGAACTCGCATCTTGAGGGATGGACAGTTTGAAAAGGCCCACACTAACTCGCTCTCCGACTGCAAAGAAAGCGGAGACAAGCGCACCAGGGAGGCTGCCACACTAAGCGCCAATACATAAGGTAAAGGCGAGAAGCATGAGAGTGTATCACTGTCGGCGCACAATCAAGTCAACCGCCTGCACGGCGTGCTATGCCTTTTGCGTGTCACGCGTTGCTGGATCAAGGGGAGTGAATGCATTCCTAGAGGGGTTGCCACTGCATGTGTGATGCCCCAGCTTCGACAGCGATAGTTTTGCTGCATTATCCCCCGAAATTCGCAGATAGAGGCAGACTCTTGGACTGCTCGCACACCTGCCGGACTGCTTCCCCCAGGAAACTCATACATGCAGAGCGCGCGTCTGTACACTCCGACTGAGCGCCTCGGAACCCCTCCCCTCCCCCCAATCGTAGTACCTGCTCAAACTGCTCTTGCTGCATGTAGAGGCGACCTAAATAGTAACGAAAGTTCACCATTGGTCCCCGAGGCGCATGGCTGAAGTTGATCTGCCTGCAGCAAAAAGAACTCGAGGTTGCAGCCTCGCACAGCCTTGGTGCTTGCCCTTAGAAGGCGAGGTAGCTTGTTGAGGAGTTTGGTCACAGGGTACAACGCAGGAGGTTCCCTGTTGAGCCACAACTTGCGCTATAGCCGCTATAAATATGCCGTACAACTGCAGCACAGTACCGGCAGCAAGGCGTCTATGCTGACCGTGAGTCGCAGAGCTTCAGAAAGCCTGCAGCCATCTGCATGTTGCCGAGCTGCAGACATCGCTTGATGCTCTGGCCTAACAGCACGACGTAAGCCCCGTGTCTTCCTTCTTCGCCTCGAACCTTTCCCAGCTTAGGTCTGATTGCGTTGAGCACTTCTTTCGTGTACCGATTCTGCGCTTCCTCCGCTTCCGCCGCCCCCTCTGTTTCCTCCAACATCTCCTGACTGTCGTCTGTCGCTGCATCTGCAGCCAAGGCCGCTCTGTTCATGAGGTTGCAAAGAACCGCCAACCCAGGAACGAGCCAGCCGCAGCTCGCCGCGGGAACCTCCACGTACACATCCACATAGAGAGACAAGAGCAGCACGCACTGACGCACCACTTCCCCCCACTTGCATGTGCCACTCAGCTGTCTCAGACGCAGAAACTCGAGCAGCAGGCGCTTGAAAGCGGCCTCCGGAGCTGAAACGAGGCCTAGAGCCCGCAATTTGTTTTGCAAGATTGCACTCATCACGGTCTGCACACGAAAGCGCAAAGAGAAAGAGAGGCAGGCAACCGGCAGGACGGTAGGGCGAAGTCAGCGCCGTCATGAAACGAGACAGCATGCATACACCCAGGAGGTGCCCGATGCCGCTTGTTCATAAAATTCAAGAGCAGCTTGAATACGTTATGTGCGGGGAAACACCATGAGCCAAGCGAGCTGAAGGAAACGCCTTCGAAGAGAAATGCCATCGGTCGGCTAAGGGGCTGTATCTGCATGCATGCTTTCCCTTGAAACGAAACAGATGCCAGGCATCGAGAGGGTCCCCCAAGCCGTGAGCGCTGTACCCTGGCTCTCTCTGAAATAAAAACCTAGAGACGCCACATTCCCATGCAGCAGCCCACAACTGCACCCCTTTCCCCTGAACTGACCTCTGGCATGTTCAGTATTTCGCTCTGAGGAATGATGCTATCCATCTCCTTGATGAGGTCGGAGAAGGCTTCGCCATTCTGATCCACCACAGCCTGAAGCATGCACTCTGCCCAGCCCTCCGTCTGCTGGTTTGAAGAGCGACTGCTCCGATGGACTCGACCCCGAGAAGCCAGCCGCATCGCCACAATAACACGCACTCTGGGGAGAGGCCGTGAAGAAAGAAGGAGAGGCAAAGGGCTGACAAACAAGCCGGATAGGATTGTCTAATACCAGGAGGAACGGAAGAAGACCCATGCAGTCCCTCTTAACGCTGCAATTGGTGGAACGGAAGGAGAGGTACGGTGCGCCAGAGGAAGTGGGAGAGAGGCGGCAGTAGCAGACGAACGGAAGTGTGGCTTGGCCATCACGAAGAGCTTTCCTTCTTGTTTATGTGTTGGAGAAGTGAGGAATAAACGAAATTGAGCCGCCGAAGGAGCTCTCGTGTCCTTCGAAATGTGAGGGTACCCTTTAGGAACCGAGCAGTGTATCTCGTCATGAACCACAGAGACAGCTCGGGCGTCTATATTGCTTGTAGCGCTCTGAATACGGAGCTCAGTATTCAAGTTCATGCATTCTTGCAATAACTTTCAGCAGTGGATCTTGGGGCTGGCCAGCGTTCTCCTGGGGCTGTCGGTGTCGGTGCTGCCTCTCTATATGCAAGAACGCATTGAAGGCAACAAAGGGAAGTTCATAAAGGGGATCGGTCGCCTCAGAGCCAGCGCTTTAATTTGAATCCCGCAGATTCACACAAAGCGTGCAGACATCACGGGTCAACTGTGCCGCTTGTCGGCTACGTTCAGCGCCTAGTGTTCAGGTTTTGTACCGGTGAGCTGCTGTCTCTGCTTTCTCACTGTTTTTCTTCATTTTGAGCGGCCACTTTGCCCCTTCCCACAGGCATCGCCAGGGTGGCCAGGGGACCTGCTGCAGTGTCGTGACAGCCGCAAATAGCTCCAACCTGTACCGATTCGCAGGACACCATCTGCGAATGAACGCGCAACTTAGAGGGGGTGGCCCTTCTCAGAGAGGCACTTTCGCCTCACGACCTCCCTCTGGTCCCATGGCGGACGCTCCAAGTGTAGGGTATGCGCAGGGGTATGTTGGAGGAGCTGGCTCTTCGGAGGGCCCTTTGTCGGCGGTTCCCGGTTCCTCTTGGGGCCCCAACGAGAGTGCCGAGTATCGTCCTTCGCGTGATGCTGGTAGAGGCGCTTTCATGGGGGGGCCCCCAGGGGGGGGGGCCCCAATGGGCCATTCATACGCTCCAGCGAAACCCTCTGCTGGCGTGTGGAGCTCTCCCTTCGGGAATTCCGGTCTGCCCGGCTCCTCCGAAGGCCCCTCTGCAGGTGCAGAGGCCTCTGCTGCTGGATTCTCCTCTGCGCCGAAAGGTGCAACGGCTGAACAGCAAGTGATGAACCTGGTCCTGCATTCGGTTGCCGATAATCTTACGAGTCAAGCGGAAAAACACGTATCTATGTTGCAGCAGCGATTTCCGTCATTTCTTTTGTCTCTGAGGCCATACTTTAGTGTCAGTCAGGGGTATGTCTTCATGCGGCTGTGTCGATTATTGTTTCCTTTCCGGGCTTTGTTCTGGGGGCCCCCATCGGCGCGAGCCTTCGGTGCCGTCGCTTCCGACATCAGCACCGGTACAGCAGCTGGCCATACACCCGAGCGCGATTTGTACATTCCTCTGATGGCGCTAACGACCTTCGTGCTCCTTACCGGCATCGAAAGCGGCCTGAAAGGCGGATTTTATCCAGAGCTTCTGGGATCTACGCTTTCGCTATCGCTTGTCCTTCTCTTGGCAGAGATGGGAGCCCTCAAGTTGACCCTCTACGCCACGGGTGCCTCTTCTGCTGCTGCCACAGACATCCTCTGCTTCTGCGGATACAAATATGTTCATGTGGCACTGCTTCTTGTGCTCCGCGTGTCCATAGACCTCATGGAGGGCCCCCGGTTCTACTCGGTAGGGGCCCCTTGGGGGAACCCCCCCGTCGTGCCCGCAGAAGTAGACCCAGCGGCGGCGTTGGCAACGGAAGAACCTCCTGCAGCGATCGCCCCCCGAAGAGCGTCTTTACTCTTCATCAGCTGTTTTGCATACTTCTCTACTTGCGCTGCTGGCGAACTTTTTATGCTGCTGAAGAGGGCAGACGTTGCGGGGAAAGACGCGAACGCCGCATACCTCCAAGGAGGGTCTCTTAGGGGCCCTTGCGCTTCATACGTCATCGCTGTGGCTGCCCTCTTGCAAATCCCACTGTGCTGGTTCTTGCTGCCTTGTAAAGTTTTCTCGGCATAAAGCCAACAGGAGCAGTTGGTTGACTGAGCCCCTCCAAAACATCGCACATTCTCTTTGCAACTTGAGCACCCCCCCGCACAACTAAGAACAGCAACACCCCCATCAGAAGTAGCACCTTCCTCTGCGGGAGCTGCGGCCTCTATGGGTCGTGCCTGCTTGGCAGAGGCAGGCCCCCTTTGCTGCCACAGCCACAGACTAAGGATTTTTCGGAATGCGCGCGCAGGTGGAGGGCCTCTGGTGGCCTCTTGTTGCTTCCTTGTGGATGCTAAAGTTTCTAGGTTTTGGATTTTGAGATGGCAGTACATGTCGGACTGCTATGGTGGCTTTGCGTAGGGCTAGGCTAGTTACTTCTGCTGAGCATTCAAGGCATATGTATTTGGTATTTCGCACATGTATGGACCTCGGATACATAGAGTTTCTGCAAAAAATATACGTGTATACGTGACACAATCATCCTGGTCGTGCTTTAGCTGACGATCCCCCCAGGTTCAAGTGCACGGTTTACAAAACTGCAGCCGTAGCACTTGCTTCCACTGATAGTGATCATGCTTAGTGCTGTCTCTCCCTCTCCCTCCATCTATCTGTAGGAAGCATCTTGCATCCTGAGAGAAAAAAATCTGCTTGTGTGATTCTACCTTCACACATGCATCAATGTGACGTGGCCCTAGGCAGACTGCCCGAACAACAGTGTGTCTGTTGGCAGCGACACTGTTGCTTTCGAAAAAAGCTTTCTCTAGCCAAGACAGGGCATTGCGCATGCTGACGCGCTTAAAAAACCAGGCACATATCTGTCAACCGCACAACAAGAGGACAGCGCGCGGTCATACACTGTGCGGTGTCGCATCCTTCTATTCGTGTGCGGGGGTCAGCTGGACAGACACACACACGAAATTTCCACCTTTGCCGCTATTTGTTGCGGGACAGGGTTCGCTGCTTCTCTGCATCGGCCACCACTTTTTCCTCTGTGGGGAGGCCCTGAAGCGGAAGCACGCAACCCGCAAAGAGAGCATGGAGAGGTGGTGTACAGGCGTGCTGGGGTTAAGAGGAAGATCCAAGCGGCGGAAGGCTCACGGCGAGCGCCGCGCTCCGACTGAACAAGACTACCACCAGCAGCAGTGCATATTTAGCCTGGCCCTCAAGACGCCGAGGCGCCCCCATAGAGTGATGGCTGCCGGAGCTTAGCATTTGGGGTGTGGAGGAACCAGAGGAAATCTAAGGCTGTGGCCTGAGGAGGAGCGCGATCATGAGAGGGTTCGGCAGACTTTGCTCTTTCTGATCGAGTTGATGATGGCTCTCGCGGGAATTTGCGATGTCAGAGAAGCGAATGCCGCCTCGCCTTCGTCCTCTAGTTCCTGAGGCACACAGGCATGTGCTTCGCTCGGGGTGACCGTTGACGCTTTATGTGTTCGTAGGCAGAGCCTCAGTGTTGCTGGGGAGGGAGATGGCAGCACTGCAGAGAGGCATTCCAGCCTTCAAAGAATGCTGCCAGGAGACGGGTGCAAACAAGCACTTTGAGTCTGTCTGCAGTGCTTACTTGCTCCGTCATGCAGGCTTCTGGGAAGGGGTCTTCCTGAAGGACTTCCCAGTGAGAGAACTGCAGCTGCAGCGCTGCATGCCCCGACGCCTTGGACCTGCACGCAGACAGAGGAAACCAGAAAGACTGGAGCTTCGCGTTGAGGGGAGGGGGTTCGGTAGGCTCGCAGCGAGCATGCCAGAAAACAGCGCGCAAGACAGTTCAAGTTGCTTGCAGTCCGCTACTTTGGGGCGACACGGCCTGCATTTTCGACACAGTGCTTCAAATCAAAGGCGAGAGGTGCGTGTGCAGTTCAAGCGTGCTGATTTGCCTGAGTTCTCTACTGATGCCGTGGGCTTCAGCGGTTGGCAAAAAACCAGAGACGAGGAAGAGGGAGGTTTGACCTTCGGGAACCTCCTCCCTACAGATACGCCCTCTCCTCTTCGCCAGCACCGCATAGGCCTTGCCAATAACCTTCTGATCGCAGCTGAGTGCTGCGAAAGATACACAGTTTCAGCCAGGCAGGCAGCGCCGCGGCGAAAAAGTCATGTTCAATATCGGGATCGCGAAATCTCATGTTACCGGCCAAGACTCCTAAGGGCACGAAGCCACTGTCAGAAGTCACCCCCGCAGCCCCCTCCCCCCCGTCCCTCAGCTTTCCGACAAAAAGAGGCTGCTGCTTCCCCGCAGTCTGCAGAAGGTAGGACTTACTGAATCTAAGCATTGCCTCGTAGATCCTGCATAGTCCCCGCTGCAGCATGGCGGCTCTACACGCCTCCTTCATGGACGAAATGACCTGCAGACAGACGCCGCGGAGAGGGTGTACAGACACTGCGCAGGGGCTGCCAGTTCCCAGTTGATGAAAGAGCACCTGCCCGTCAGCGCTTCCGCGTACAAACAACAATGCTGTGGCTGCCGTCCGGCAGGCCGCCCCTTTTCGCGTAATCTCTAAGAAAACGAGGCCCCTCTCGATGAGAGCGAAAACGCCAGTAGGAACTGGGTATGTGTATGTATATATACATATATACATATATGTATGTATGTGTACACATATACATATATGTATGTATGTGTACATATATACATATATGTATGTATGTGTACACATAGACATATATGTATATGTACATAGATATATACGCACAGGAGCCTCATCAGACTTACCTGCCCAGTGCCAAGCTGCGGATGTGCAGCAACCCCCGTACACGTAGAACTGGCGCCTCTCCACCCTTGGGCGTGGTGCCTCGAGCTCGGAGCACTCTCCGTGGTGTCGCCCATGCCTCCAGATGCGCCTGCAGATGCTTGCGTCTGACTGCCCACCACTGCTGCTGCTGCCGCAGCCCCACGGGGGGAGGCGGGGAGGGGGGGCCCCCTGCGAGGGGCCCCTAGCAGGCCGTCCCCGATGGCAAGGGCCTCAACGATGAAGGCGACCCCCCTGCACGCCAGCGCAGCGGAGAGGGCTTGGCAACAAGCCTTTGGCAGGTGTATACAGCCCGCGCGCTCCCCGTGCAAACGCACATGGACGGCATACTCCTATGTGGCGGCAAGCAAAGAAGCAAAGCCTAGGCGTTGCACGCTCCATCTTACAAGTCCTACAAGCCCACGAGAAGCTCTCGGAGGCAGCGACAGAGCAGCCTCCAGACGTGCCTCACCTGAGTGGCTCCTCGGCGAGGGGCCCCGCAACAGATGCCCGCTGGAACCCAGCAAGGAGAGCTGGCAGCAGGCGGCTTAAGGGCGAAGAAAGCCCCCCTGGAGCAAACACATCAGGCAGCGCAAGTAGCCACGAGCGGTACATCTGCCCTGCTGGCAGGCTCCCGTGGGGAGGCAGCGCCAAGCCGCCAAGCGCGCAGCAACTGTCGTGAAGAAACGCCGAGCCGAGAAATCGCAGAGCATTCAAGACGGAGCACCCACACCCACACACTGCCTCGGAACGGGGTTTTTTCACACACTGACTGCTTGCACGCAGCCTTAGGCGAGCAGACGTCTCTCGCGCATATGTGTACAGCCCACACAGTCCGAGAGAGGTCCTCAAAGCAGCAGACACACATCAGAAGCAGACGCTACACAGCCTGAAAGAGGGCGACGCGTGTACTCAAGATCGCGAAAATACGAGGCGGTGGAAGCCTTTCGGCGCGGGAGCCCTTTAGTGCTGCATGCATTCCCGTGTGCAGCCAGAAGCTGCGGGGTGTAGCGTCACCCCGACCGAGCCGTGAGCAGGCTACGCCATCGCAGAAGCGACGCCCCCTGGTGCTCCATTCCGCTACGGCTGTCTGTACACCGCGTGCCCCCCGCCGCCGCAAAAGGTGACAAGCCGCTTTCCTGCCCTCCCAAAGTACCTGAAACGCCGTTGGCTGCGAGCGTCGAAATTTCAGAGGCATCTTCGAACGCCCATCCGATCGGAGCCTCTTCTCCCTCCGTTCCTCTGAAGGCGCTTGCGGACGCTGGCGGCTCCTTGCCAGTGCAACACCCCTCAGGAAATAAGACGGAAAGACTGCTCGACGCCAGGAGAGCGCAGCAGGCCCCACCGCTGAGCGCGAGGCTCCAAAGGGGCCCTGGGGGCCCTTGAAAAGTCTCCTCTGCTGCTTTCGCCTTGGGGAGTTGTGTGGGGGGATTTTGAGGGCTTTTTTCGGCGTGTCTCCAGGTGTTGCTGAAGCTCGCCTCAACGTCTCTGAGGCAGGCGTGCAGCAAGTCTTGGCTGGCGCTGGGAGGCAGCCCACAAGCGCCTCCTGAAGTCTCCGACCCCTCCCCAGACTCCCGCTGCTGAGGGTGCAGAAACAAGCGCGTTGCAGGGGTCCTGCTTTTGAGGGTCGCCAGCAAGTCTCGCGAGTTGGCAGTGAGCCAGTCCGTCACTGCAGAAAGAGCGGGAAGCGCAGCAAAAACACATCGCAGAGCCGCAAACACGCGAAGCCTGCATGCAAAGGACTTCCTACACATGCCCTTTCTCTCCCTCCGCGCAGATCTGCATGTGACTCTCCAGCAAGGCAGGTCCAAAATAGGGTCCTTGCGTTCGCGAAGAAACGCGACAAAATTTCTTCAAAAAAAATCCCGTTAAAGCAGCGTGTATGGATCAAGCAGGGCAGCCTTTGCAAACCTTCTACCCCTAAGTAATTCCGGCGGAAACGGATTCTGGTGCCACGATTTTCCGCTCACCTGCATCTGGCATCTTTTCAGCCCTAAGGACGATTACTAGAGGGCACTCAGATCCCCCTCCCCAAAATACCGAAGAGTTGTAATTGCGATGCTTTCGAATCCACGCAGACAACGAGGCTTCCAGCGGCGCATCTCCTGGCGCTGCCGATGTGTGTGCCAGAAACCCCTCCAACCTCGTTGTTTCCTCTTCAGAAACTCCTCCCTTGGGGGGTGGGATCCATGGAGGGAAGGCCACGCGGCGGGAAAATGTGTGGGCAGCGATCCCAGAAGCTGTCTGCGCAGCTTCGACTTCAGAAGCGAATGCAAGGGTTTCCCTTATCGCCGTCATGGGGGCCGATACTGCAGCACACACATACACATACACATGCGTGAATACACACACACACATATACACACATACATACATGAATACATACATGAATACATACACACACATATACACACATACATACACATCTACATACATGAATACATACACACACATATATACACATCCATACACTTACGCATACATGAATACATGCATGAATACATACACATATACATGCATGAATACATACACACATATATACACATATACATGCAAGAATACATACACACATACATACACATATACATGCAAGAATACATACACACATATATACACATATACATGCATGAATACATATACACACACATATATACACATATACATGCATGAATACATACACACATATACATACACCTATATACACATATACATGCATGAATACATACACACATATATGTACACATATATACATGTACACATAGAGATTCGCATACGTCGATCCATACACACATCCATACATCCATACAAACAGATAATAAACACACATGAATACATGCAGAAACACACATAAGCGCCCTCTAGAGAAGCTGCCAGTTCCTGGTGGCGTTGTTCTCCATCGAAGGGAGGCGGCTACTGCAAGAGACGCTCAAGAGCGAGAGTCAGTACAGGCCCCCCAACCCCTGCCGCGTGAGCCCATCCCCTGCGTGGGGTGTGCTAAGGGTGTTTTTTATCACGGAGGCTGCGTTTGTGGCTTTGTTGACGCTTACCGCGAATGGGAACTCTGGCGTAAAGGGCTTCGAGGTCACTCAGGGAGGTTTCGAGGTGTACTTCGCCGCAGCAGCCGAGGAGGAGTTCCCCATTATCCAGCACAGACAGCTGAGGTGCAAGTGTGCGCAGAAACGCCACAGGGAAGTAGGCAGGGTCGACGACGCACAGCAAGAAGCAGAGGGAAAACGCTGACACGCAAAGGGAGGGAGACAGACGGTGTCTCAGAGAAAAAGGGGCTGCGGTGGAGGACGATGAGGAGGGGTGAGGGAGGCATGGATTCTGATCAGCAGGGAGAGAGAGAAGGAGAGAAGGGTGCAGCATTGAGGCGCAGAAGCCAAAGGGCGTCTGTCTTGAGTATGAAGTAGGCACACAATGAACTACTGCTTTGCTGCAGGGGTGCCTGCTGGCTGTAATGTGGCGCAGGCTGCTGCCGCTAGGCAAACAAGTCGCTTCGCTTCTTTGCGCTGCGAAAGAGCCTCGTTTGCGCTGGCCTCCGCAGTTTGCGAGGTGTATGTACATACACCACATACTTCGAGAGAAGGGTCTGCAAGGAAGAGGCGGGAAATACCCTGAATGAACTTCTCAGAATCTTCGAGACGTTGCGCCTCAACTGCCACGCGCACGATAGCCGAAGACGCCTGCAACAGCACCAAGAGAACCGCGCAAATGGCATATGCCGCTTCAGGAGCAGCAGCAGCAGCAGGCATATGGCTTGCTAGGCAGGCCTACCCACAGTTGCATCTACTCACCCCGTGCTCACTGGCAGGCAGAGAATGAGGGCCCCCCTTCCCCCTCCCCCTCTAGCAGCAGCGGAGCGCCAGCACTCGAGGCAGCCTCCGCGAGAGCGGCGTGCGTCTTCCTCTTTTACCTTTGAATAGGGAGATACCAAGGGAGGACAGGCGGGGTGATTGCTGAGGGTCGAGCATCGAAGCGCTCCCTCGACTCCCATGGGCCCCCTACGGTACCTTTCGAATTCCTCGGTGTACTTCTCCTGCGCCTCGACTTGCCGATGGTGGGGGGCCCCCCGGCTGCGCAGTCCTTGCAGCCAAGCGGCTACGTCCCTTAGCATCTCGCGGGGGGCCCCCTGCGTCGCGTCGGCACTTGCGTCTGCTGGCAGCAGAGAAACAGCCACCACGGAGCCGGCGGAGGCCTCTTTCACTGGCTTGAGATCTGGTCCAAAGAGCAGGAAGATGTTGTCGACAACGTACGCCTGCCGCGTGAGAAGCAGCTCCCCCGAGCCGAGGGGGCCCTCGACGTCACCAGACGGGGGGGGCCCCCCGCGTTCTTCGGTGCACACGAAGATTCGCATTCCCCGACGGAGGCAGCCAACAAATATCCTGCACAGGCCTAGAAAGCTGCTGCATCCTTCGTTGCCTGAACCCCCGCAAGCCACAAGAGAGGGTACAGCAGAGCTTCACCATGGAGGGGGCCCCTTCCCTCCTTCCCCCTTGTGAGGGAGGGAGGCCCTTGAGAAGGCCTTGGCTGCGCCAGCGAGGTGCACCCAAGGCCGTCTGGGGGCCCCCAAGGGGGCCCCCAGACGGCTGTCAGGAAATGCACGTAAAACAGGAGGCAGCGGAGGAGCCTTCTGGGGCCTAAAATCGACCGACTCACCCTGCAAGGTGGCTCCGACGACTCGGAGGCTTTGCAGATCTGCGGCAACGAATTTTGCCACATACACGATCACGAGGGGGTCTTCGGGGGGGGCCCCCTGGAGAGGCCCTTCCTTAGGGGCCCCCTCAGAGACGACCGGGGGATCAATCTGCGCGGTAAAGGGGTCCAGGTGAGGACAGAGACGCGGGAGACGCTGACGAGCGGCAGCGATCGGATTGGGAACTCGCAGAACGAGAGTCTCCTGCAAAGAGGATTTTCGCGCAAACAACGGGGAAAGAAAGCGTGAGAAGACGTAGAAGCAGCCAGCGCAGCGCTGAACATTGTGCAGAGCTCTCGCGAGAAAACACACAGCGGCGGGGTCCCCCCCAGTGATAGTCTGGAGAGAACCAGCAAGAGGTCTGGTCTGTCCACTTTTTCTTTCGCAGGAGCGAGAAAGCCATCCAGCAGGTGTATAGGAGGAGGTTCGTTCTGCGTGGGCGTTGCTGTGCAAGCGTTCTTGAGCCCTAGTTGCAACTCTTGACGCGCTTCGCCTTAGGTGGCTATAGGCTTATTGTTGGTGGGCATGCACCGTGCTGTAGAGAGATGCTCGCGCATCATGCACGTACAAGCAGAGTCTCCCCGACGGGCAGCCATCGCGTCATTACAGCGGCCACTAGCTCCCCCACCAACTCTTCCTTGAGCTTGCTGCTCTCTTCCGCCCGCCTCTGTCTCGCAGGAGAGAGCAGCCGTCTGATTTCTGCAGCGATCTGCTCCGTTTCCTTGAGCTGCAGAGCCTTCGCTATCGTGCATAGCCTGGTGACTCTTGGATCTTCTGCGTGCTGGGGACGGTCGGTGGGAGCCTCGTCGAGAGACTGCCCCTGAGCGTCTTTCCACCCTGCCGCTCGATACAGTCGCCAAATGGGTTCAAAAACAAGCTGCTCCACCATCCGCGGCTGCCCTTCAGTAAAAGGGGTGTTTCTCACCTCCAGGCTGGGGGGAGGAGGAGAATCTTTCTCCGCTCCCCGAGCAGCTGCTCCTCCCGCTCGAGGCTCTGTGCTCCTCTTGGAGCGGCAGCGACGCAAATAGTAAGGCCCCCACAGCGCATGCGTAAGCTTAGGAAGCGAAGCCAGAGGCAAGCCGAGCTGCTTCAACAAAGTGCTGCGAGCGAAAGAGGGGATCGAAAAACACCACCCGTGAAGAGCAGATGCAAAAAGGACGTTGCCTGATGGCAGCACAGAAAAAACAGAGACAGAGCACACACGGGTCGAATGCTGTGGGTGCCGCTTACGCACGGGGGCAGCAGCCAAGCTAGATGAGGGTAAGAAAGGCTAGTGAGAAAGCCTCAACATGAACATAAAGAGCGATAGAGAGAGAGAGAGAGAGAGAGAGAGAGAGAGAGAGAGAGAGAGAGAGAGAGAGAGAGAGAGAGAGAGAGAGAGAGAGAGAGAGAGAGAGAGAGAGAGAGAGAGAGAGAGAGAGAGAGAGAGAG